GAAAAACAAAGCAAACTACCAAAGATCCATACAAGTTATGTTGTGAAATATAGCATTTACATGTAAACCATAATTTGGTTTGTAGTTTTCCTACCTACAAATTAATTAGTAACCTTGTAAATCTTTGATTTATATTATAGAGTAAATTACATGAATGGTCCCTATAGTTTGGTGTAATATGTGAATTTGGTGCCTAAATCTTTTTTTTAAGGTGTGTTTGGCTAGGTTTTTTTTTTTTATCACAAAAGTACTTTTAAGAAAAGTGTTTATTGGTTTATAACTTTTTAGAAAAACATATTTAAAAAAGTGTTTGATTTAGCTTTTGTGGTAGGAAAAGCCGAAAAGTCAATACGTTGGTTTTAAAAAGTGTTTAGCTTAGTTTTTTATGAGTAAAAAACTATGTTTTTAAAAAATGCTTTTAGGAAAACCTAAAAAAAAGTAAGATTTTCTATCTTTTAGAAAGTTCCATATTTTGCCTATATAAAAATCTGCAAAAAACTGTATCAAAAACTATTATTAATACCCAAATATTTTTTTAGCTTATTAGTTTTTCAAAAAGCTACTAAGCTAATAAACTATTTTGAGAAGCAATTCCAAACACCCACTTAATATCGGACCGTCATTATGGTTTTGTTTTATTACCACTTCTCTTTTGGTTCAAGTGGTAAGGTTTTTTGTGGGTTGATTGTGTCCATGATTTTGTAGTCTTATATTGATTGGTTATCTTGGTTCTCTTCGTTTTGCATGCAATAATAACGGAAGGTCGTTTTAAGGTTGTTTTTATTTTGTGGTGGCATATATTGGTGTTTAGAAATACTCGGTTGTTCAACCGAAATCGACGGATTTATTTGATATAATCGTTACTAAATCCTTCCTTTGGTGTAATAATAGGAATATGAAGGCTAATGTTAATTGGTGGGTAGCTTCTAGCCCCACAACATGATATTGATGTATCTTTTTATTTTGTCTAGTTTATTGCTAGTCTTGGTTTAATGAAATTTATGGTGTTAAAAAAACTATACATTAGTACGTATTATTAATATTATTAAGTAGGTTATAATCCGTGTACTAGACGGGTGATAAATTAAAATAACACAACCATTATAAAAATGAAATCTTGATCATAAATAAACATAGTTTAATTAATAGCATTGCACTTCTATTTATTGAAAATTTCTGTTAATTTAAAAACATAAAATAACATTGTAATTTCATTTCTCGTGCATGTTAGCATTCTAATTTCGCTTCATATTAAAAAATGACAAGAACATGTAGATTTTTTAAAAGATATTATTTATTGTTTGTAATAAAAAATTATTTAACATTATACAATGTAAAAGATAACTTTATATATAATAATTATGTTTTATATTTTAAATTTTATGTTATAATTATATTATTAAAAGAATATATAAGACTTACTCTGGTCTGGTTATATATTTTTAATAAACTATAAATAATAAAATTAGCTATATACTATATGTATTATAAGTAAATGGAAAATCTTTATTCGTGATCTTTATTGTTACAAAAACAATTACTCTCTAAGAAAATGATTAAAGCCCTATCTTTGGAGTCTAAGAAAATACATATAAAAGTAAACATTTACAAAAATGATTAAAGCCCTATCATTGGAGTCTAAGAAAATACATATAAAAGTAAACAGTTAAATTTTCTTTCAATAAAACTTATTAAAATTCCAATAAAAACCAAAGTAAATACATCCCAATCTAATAAATATCGTCGTAGTTACTAAATATTGAGTGAGAGAAAACTTGCCATTGTTTATTTTTAGTTATTAAACAATAACAAAATTAAAAGTATTTATCTTATAAACGTCTTATCTTTTATAATTCCTTAAAGAATGTAATCATGTATACATAATACATGAAAACAAATTTTTTTTTCTCTATTTGATCTTGTGTGTTTGGGTGACAGTTGTAATTTTGATTTAGATGGTCAGAATAGTCAAACTTGGAGAAGCATAAATAAGAGGTTGTATGAAAAACAAGTCTTGAGTGAGATGAATGTAAAACTACCGATATATAAATAGCATAAAAACTCGTTCGTTTACACTTTTACATTATGCTTGCTTTGAAGACCAAACAGAGAAAATACACAAACCAAATGTGTAATGTGTATATACCAAAAAAAACATGTTGTTTCAACCCAAATCTAAATTGCTACCATGTGAAAGTCAACTGACAACTGATAATAATAGTTGACCACCCTCCATAATATTCATGACTTTCTCAAAATTCAAAAGAAAAAAAAAATCATTATTTTCATCTAGAAGAAGGTGAGTTATTTTCACTGCAACCCAATATTGTTTGACTACAAATAGCATCTTTTTCTGAAATAAGTGGACCATCTTCACGATCCACCATTTTTATGTTCCATCTTATTCCAAAAACAATCTTTATAGCCTTAATCACTTCAATCTCATCATCACGAATTATTATAATACCTTCAAGAGGTAAAATCTTTATCCATTTCCAGAAGAATATGTTCATAGCTACACCTACAAATATGTATTTCCATTGAAATAAAGTTATGATCATAAGATAGTATTACGAAGAACAGAAAAAAGAAAATTAAACAGCAACAATTGTTATGAATATATTAAACAAATTTCAAAGCTTTAACAGAAAAAGAAATGTTCATATTACAGTACTTTCAAAACGTAATGAGTCAAAGTACTTTGTAAGTGTATAAAAAAGTAGCTTGCTATTTTACCCTGGCATAAAGTACATTATTTAAAGTACCATGCTATATATTGACAAATCGAAAAGTACATTGACATAAACAATCAACAGGAATAATAAAAATCGAAATTCAATTGCTAAACGGTGAATGAATGAAGAGTGGGGAAGATTAAAACCGATCTATCAAAAGAAATGAAAAAAAACAATAATCAACAGAAAACGTATGAAGAATGAAGAAGAGTATGAACAGGTGGTTTCTTGTTGTATTCCTTTTGATTTCGTAAATTAGTAACCAAACTAAAATCATAAGACTACATTAAGGATGATGGTGGTATATATTATATAACATACAATTGACAGGCAATAAGGTATGGACGATTGTTTCTCCCTAATTTATTGGGATTTATCTTCAAATAGACTTTTTCATAATAAGTAGGTTTCCTTAGATAAGAATTGAATTTAAATTTCAATTAATGATAAGATTCTTGTTAATCTTAAAAGGTATTAATATCAGTCAAAAGGAGTAAAATCGGATGATATTTGACTTAGCTGAGAAGAAAACGTATGAAGGAATTAGAAGAATGCCATGTGGCAAATGAATGTATTAGAAGAGGGACACGTGCCAGTTTAGAGATTTTATTTATTAGAGGAGGTAGATAGATAATGTTGACTATTGTTAATATTTTTAATGATATTGACTGAAATTTCTACTAAATCAAGACTTTTCAGATAAAACATCGAAACATAAATTACATCTCATATTTTTACTGAGAAATACAATGAAAAAAAAACCCTGTTGTGTTGGCTTTTGAAGAAGAGAAAGAGGAGGGGTTTAGTGAGAAACAAATGTTGTTTTTATCAGAAAAATAAGGTTTTTCTAATGGATGTGTTCGCATTTATATCAAGATTCAGGGCCAAGGTATCGTTGTTGGGATTTCGATCGGGGAAGGGTTTCAGGATGCAAGGATTGCAAGGGGCGGATGGAGTTTTGGAGAGAGAGAGAGAGAGAGAGAGAGAGAGAGAGAGAGAGAGAGGTTTGTCGAAGAAGGAAGGAAGCGAAGAAGAAAAAATTAAGAGATGGAAGATCGGTAATTTGCATTTTATACAACGTCATAAAAGCTAGGGGTGAGTATAAAAACCGAAAAACCGAACCATAACCGCTAAAGCCGTTAAAACCGAACCATATTAACCGAACCATTTTTAAAACCGTTTGATTTGATTTTTAGTTTTGATAACCAATATCAGTGTACAACCGTCCATAAATATTGAAAATACCAAAGCCCCAATAAAATAAAACCCTTTTATTATTGACAATACCGGCGTCATTCTTCTTCTTCTTCAATCTTCATTGTCAAAGTCCACTTGCATATTAGAAAATATAAACGTCTCTTTTTCATCCCCTTCGGATTCACTATTCAGGTATTTTTTTTATATCCTTCTGTTATTTTGTTTTGTTTTTTTTTTCCGTGTTTTACTGCACTTCACATCTTGATTCGTTCCATGTTTGTTTTTGAAGTTTGCTTTAGTGAGTTTAAATTACAATCCCACTGTTACGTGACCTCTTAAAATGCTAAACCCATATTCACAAATTCTAATGTGGATATATTTTCAGGAAATATTTAAAGTGCACTAAAGTGCATCAAAAAACCAAAATATGAGTGGGATTGGAATTTAAATAGTTTTTAACGCAAGCCTAAAATATTTAAGTGCCTTCACCCATTCCGTTGATGTCATATTATCACAAATTAGTATGAATATATTTTCAAAAAATTTTGTATGGAAGAAGCCACAAAAAACCAAAATACAACTTTAAGGGATGAATTGAATCCGGTGATTGATGTTACTAATGAAAGAAATGAACCAGCAAATGATGTGACAATATATTTACTCCCAATGAATTTTACTTTTCTTTGAAATAAATTTACTTTTTATAACCTTTTTGGTTAACCAAAATTAACCGATAACCACATTTGAATTAACCACTTAACCATTAACCAAAACCGATTTTAACCACCTAGTAATGGTTAAAAAAAATGTATTAACCTAATAAAAACGAAAACATTACATAACTAGAAAATTAAGCAAGACAATACATACATAATATATAAACGCGGAAAGATTAAATACAGACACCAACAGACCCAAAACAACATTAAATCTAAAAATCCACAGCCATTATCATCACCATCCATAATTATGCCATCAAGATTCAGATATATAATAACAAAAGATAATCCCTCAAAAACGACAGCACTACTACAGCAAAATGATCGATCGTATTCCAAGGATGATCTGTCATTCCATCTGCCTGAACAGAGTCGTTAGCACTTGGTCCGTCATCAAAGACGCCTTCAACAACTCCAGTGCCTATCAAAACTCATATAACAAATTCAACATTAACAATTAACAATAATTTGTACTTCACAAGAAAAAGTTTTATAATATATAATTACCTCATCATTTCCAAATGAAAATAATTTCTCCTCAAGCTGATTCAGATCATTCACCCCAAAGCTATTGATGAGAGTAATGCTAGAAATGGTGGACATGGGTTTCACCACCAAGTTATCCATAACCATATAAGTCACCACCTCCTTCACATACCCACCTTGTAGTACTTTCTTCCTCTCCGCTTCCTTCATCGCCGCCTCATCGTCCTTTTTAGGCGGCCCAGCAGGCGTCAAACGGAAATTCATCAAAGCACCACAACTAGGACACACAACATCCGGATTTTAACTCACGTATATATAATTACAACGACCATTATTATAACCTGAACCTGGAGAACGAATATTGTAACTACACCTGTAGAGTGTTTTTGGTGTATAAGGTTCATCATCCATAGAGGCATCATTCGACAACAGAGGCATGTTTCCATTGAACGTTGTTTTAGGGTTAACGATATCATCTTTACGGATACCTGGTTGAAAGTAAGCTTGATTCAATATCTCAACGCTTTCTTTGAGTTGACCCAAACTACCTACCATTTGATTGGAACCCCGTAGCTGGATGAGGGTGCCGAGAGGCAGAGAGAAGATGTGCAACAGAAAATCTACAAACTCCTTAGTGGCTTCTGCAAATAAAACTTTTTGGGTTCTCCTTTGGACCAGCAGCTTAAGTACCATGTTTGGGAAAGCCATTGATCTTACTGGGAGCTTGCTGGAAATTAGGGTTTTCAGGTGTTTTTAAAATGCTTTGTAATGAAGCATTTATTTTGGGGTCGCTTTAAACGTGCAGAAGAAGCGTGTACAGATAACCTTGGAAACGGAACCCTTTTAAGTAAAACTCGAAAGGATTATAGAAAATGAAAATAGATGACGATGATTACGAATGATATTAGGCTACCCGGTATGGGAGTCATTTCACGGGTCTTGGGCTGAGGTGGCAGCCTCTCCCACGCGTGAACACCGCCCCCAAAGCCGGTGGGCTGCGTGTGACATGATGGGAAGACGGAAGAAGACGCTGCATCTGATTGGTCCCTCACAATTTCCCTCACAGTTTCCCTCTTTCTCTCTCTTTCTTTTTGCCCCCTTCACCACCAGCCCACCGGTGAACACCATTTCCATACCCTGGTGGGTTGGGTGTGGAATGGTGAAATATCTATGTGGCATCCCAAACACGCGTGACCATTCCGTATGGCCTTAACGTGACTGATTGAGGTGGTGTTGCGGTACTGCGGAAGCCGCCATATTTTTAATAAGGGTTATTTATTTCCTTTTCTTTTCCCTTTAAATTATAAGGCTGGTTGGATTTGGAGTAGGCTCGATCTCGGCAATTGGGTCGGCATCTTCGATGAATGCCTAGTCGAGGCATGCGGAGCCGAAGCAATTCGGTGGGGTTTCACCGATGAGGGAGAAATTTGTAATTTGTAAATAATAATATAATATTGCTCTTCTTTTTATCATTTAATCAAATTCCTTATTTTTTCAAAAAAAAATGCTATCTTTTCAAAAAAAATACTGAATTTAAAAAATATAACCATTTTTTTTCAAAATTTCAAATATTAAACTATAAATATCATCGTCCTTATTCATTTTTCATCTTATTCAAATCTTCTTAATTCGGTTTTCCTAACTTTCTTATTTTTCATATTCTTCAAAACATTATCGTTAATGCATGTGTGGTTCGTTTTTGTCCCCTAATGAAAAGATGTTGTTGGCTTATTCATGGGTTGATGTTACAGAAGACCCAATTCATATTACCCTCCATACGACAACCTTTTGGAGGATAATAACCGAAAAATACAACCGCAAAGCCCCAGTGCCTCGAGGTAAAGAATAAATCGATTCCAAATGGAGGCACGCAAACGTACTTACAACCCTGTTTAACAGTGTGTTTCGTAGGGTGATGCATGAAGCTGAAAATGGTGGAAACGAAAATACTTTGCTAGAGAATGCTATTGAAGCATACCGTATTGAAACTAACAAAGATTTTCGGTTTGTTGAGTTTTGGCAAATTATGAGGCAGACCTCAAATATGCTTAATTTTAAACTCGTCTTTTAAATTAATTTTTTTTAGTGTGTTATGTTTTTTAAGTTTCCGTATGTGTTAATTTAATTTCAAGTGTGTTATGTCTTTTAAGTTTAAGTTTAAGTTTGTATTATTCTAATTTCAAATGTGTTGTGTTTTTTAGTGTAAGTGTGTGATTTTCTTTGAAGCTAATGAAATTTTTGTTTTAAAAAAAAATAGTATGTTTGAAATGTTTATTTTTTAAATTACTTAATTTGCAAAAAAAATATCATGGCAGGTTACTCATGAGCAAATTAAATATAATATATGATTTAATGATATTTATAGTTGTTTTTATGATTAATTAATTTTAAAAAGTTTATTCGCTTAAGATTTTTTAATTTATATCATTGTAATTATTTAAAATATCAAACATTGTTTTTTGTTTTTATAGATAACAATATAATTTTTGTAAATAATATTACTTTTAATTACTGTTGTTGTAAGTTATTTAAAATAACGTATTTGGAAACTCTTATTTGGTTTCAGAAATTTAACTTTTTTAAAACTTATGTGATGAATATTGTTAGTTTCATTGGTTGTAATTATTTAAAACAATAAACATTGTTTTTGTTTTTAAATATAACATTATAATTTTTATATAATATTACTTTTAACTATTCTTATTGTAAGTTGTTTTTAAGTTACTTATTAGAAAATTCTTAATGATTATAAAAAATAGTTTCATGGTTTTTTTGTTAATTTAGGATTACATTTTAGGTTTAACACTATAATTTATAACTTTTAACTATCTATAAAATAGTCTCTCGATTTTTTTCAAGCTTGTGAAATTTTGATTTAAGTTAACCGTTTAACATTATATTGAAATTAATAATTTAACTAATTTGCATAAAATCATAAATTATACAAAAGTTATGACTTTAAAATGTCAATTGCTCGTAGAAGATAACATATTTAAACTAAAAGTTAATTATAATATGTTAAAAAGTTAAAATCGTAATTTTATAAATAACAGAAAATTTTGATATTTTTATTTTTTTTATTTTTTAATTTTCATTTTTATTTATTTTTATTTTTTATTTTTTTAGAACAGCAATAAAATATGATATTTTAATACTATAATTTAGCTAATTTATGATTAAAATTTAGTTTTTATTTTAATTTACTTGATATTTATTTTGGGAATATTAGTGTATTTTTCATGTTGTAGGTTTTGTTTATTTTTAGGAAAATTCGAGAATGTCACATTTGTGCATGCTCTTACACATGTTTATGGGAATTATGGGAAAAAAATCTACCTCTTTTGACACCCCAAAAGGCCTTGCTCTCCTTAAGGTATGCTCAGAATCTACAATTTCACATTTAATCTTCAACCTATGCTTAAAATGAGACATTATCAAGATTCAAAAAACAGATTAATGAATGTTACCTGAAGTGTTAGTAGCAAGAAGAAGTGCTCGTGAAGAAACAAGTTGGTGAGTCAAAGATGATGGTTTGACTATTCCTTATGGTTTCAATTGCTAAAAGAAGAAAATATTTCATTAATATATAAACAAAATTAATGATAGCAATTGACTTTTAAAAACTCAAAAACTAACACCTACCGTTTGGAAAAAAACCTGTCTAGCATGGAATTCACAATCTAATTGGTCACAGGAGAAGCATTCTTGATAAAGTTTCAGAAACATCAGCCAAATAATGCCATGCTTGTCATATTTGTATTATTCACCATACATATTATATCCACAACCACGTATTGGTTATGAACAGAAAAAAAATAGTTCCTCATTCATACAGACAAAACAACAAACACCTTGTCTACATAAAAGGAAAATAGTTAAATTATCAATTACATCACATAATCACAAGAAAAATGAAAGAAAATAGATAATAAGTGGATTATCTAATTCTGTGAATATAAATTTAATTGGTTGATATTTGCAAAGATCTGCAACGGTCTTGTAATTTTGTAAAACAATTTTGGAAATTAGGCATTCGTGTGAATATGCAGAAATTGCTTCAAATTTGAGAAACACACTTTACGTGATACTCTAGGAAGTTGAAATTAAGTCTGAGAAGTCTTTTTTTATCGAGTTTCCTACACGAATGGTGAAAGCCAAGAAGAGAAGAAGTGGAATTGAAGCCCTAAATTCCCGGAGGAAAAAAAGTCCTAAGCATCAAACGGAGGAAGTTGGAAAGGAAGAAGGATGGAGTTCAAAGTTGTTGGAGAAACATATGACATATCAAAATTCTAAACAATAACAGAGCACAAGCGATTGGTGGCGGCAATTGAGCACAAAGGTGGTTGGCGACAGAAATTGAAATCCTGATTTCTTGGACGGCAAATCGTCGATCGTCAAACCCAAAAAGTCGGAGACATTGCTCAAAAACACAATAGGATTAGAAAGAAGACAAAATTTAATGAAAATCATTAAAAAAAACTAAAACCACCAACAACATACCGGAATTCCTCAGGCACTTGGTTGCAGGCGTTTGGTGGCAGCAATAGAGCGCATAAGGTTTTTGGTGAGAGAAATCCAAATCCTATATTTTTAGATGAAGTAGTAAGGAGAATCAAACGATCGTCAAACCCAAAAATACGGAGACATTGCTCAAAAACACAGTAGGATTAGAAAGAATATCAATTAAATGAAAATCATAAGAAAATTGAAACAACCAACAACATACTGAAATTCCTCAGATTACAGCACTTGGTTGCAGGTGTTTGGTGGCGGCAATAGAGCGCAGAAGATTTTTGGTGAGAGAAATCGAAATCCTATATTTTTGGATGAAGTCGTCAGGAGAATCAAACGAACAGTCAAAGACGAACGAAGAAGAAAGGAATGTAGTCGGAGACGAATGAAGAAGAAAGGGGCGGAGGAATTTACAAAGTGATGTGGATGGTTACAAACTGATGTCGATGTTTTTGTCATTACGATATTAAGATGTGGCAAAAATCTGAAACGTTGGAAGTTTATTGTTCTCAGATGTGTTGGGTTTTAATATATGTATATAATTATTAGAAAGAAGCTGAAAAATCATGGAGGTTTCAAATGCATGCGGTGCAACCGTGCTTGTAAAAATGTCTCTTTTATGTATTGTTAGAATATTGAAAAATATATTGTTAGAATATTGAAAAATATATGTTTATTATGGTTATGTTATTGACATTAACTTTGATATAATATTTTTACACTAATTTATATATGTATATGTGTATATATACATATATATATATATATATATATATATATATATATATATATATATATATATATATATATATATATATATAGAGAGAGAGAGAGAGAGAGCTAGGTTCAAGTATTCTAACTAATTATTGTACAAATATCGTATACAATGAGAATGATAAATAAAATATGTTGTTTGATAATATAAATACGTTCAATCTTACATAACTAGTGTCATTAACACACATTCTCGTAGATTAAATCGTTTATAAGGTTATTATACACTTATTATTATTATTATTTTCATTTCTATCAGAATGTTGTCAAAATGTTTTTATGGGTCGTATTCTTTCAGAATGAAAATGAGTGAAAAACGATGTACGAGAACAAAAATAAATAATAATTAGCAAGAATACATGAAAATGACGATATTTTGTAAGGTTTAACGTATTCGCATTGCTAAATAACTTATTCTCTTA